CAGCACGGGGTTAGATACAGAGTAAAGCTCCCTCTACACTGTCCCCCATCAAACACTCCCAGGACAGGGACAGCACGGGGTTAGATACAGAGTAAAGCTTCCTCTACACTGTCCTCATCAAACACTCCCCAGGACAGGGACAGCACGGTGTTAGATACAGAGTAAATCTCCTTCTACACTGTTCCCCATCAAACACTCCCAGGATGGGGTCAGCACTTTCTCATCTCCCCTATGCCCCTCTGTGTGCCTGCCCCGCCCACAATATCTCATCTACAGCAACCAAGTCTCAATGCAGTATCAGGCCTGCGGCACCATGCTCACTCCGCTGACGACCATGGGCAAGCGTGGACATTGACTGCATGTGGCCTCACTAGCCTCCCCTACACTTAACAGCTGGGGCGTGGCGGGCGCCAGATGCCCTGAGGAGAGCTTGAAGGCCGGACAATTTGGGAAGGAGTGGGGGAACGCGCACACACCCTCGAGCCAGCGGGCACCCACTGCTACTTACACAGCTGTACCACAGAATGCATGGGGCCTACGCCCCCAAGAATGCCCGGGAGCTGGTTCTTCCTGATGTCGTTCAGCCACTCGTTCAAGGCATAGTTGATCACCTTGTCCACCCCTAGCAGACTATGAAAATCACAAGAGGGCACAGTTAGGTTGGGCAGCACAAACTACGCACACTGGCTAGTGTCGGCCCACCGCTGCATTGGGGGGCCAGTACCAATGGCCAGTGGTTTCACAGACACACTGCATCGCACAGAAATCCCCGAGTCCTCGACCAAACATGCAGGCACTATCCTCATGGGAATTCACTGCGGTTGCAATTGCTAATGCAAAACTAAGAGAAAGTATTATACCTCAGCAACACCACAACCATTTGGATCATTACAGAGCTGCGCAGGGTCACAGAAGAAGCAGAAACAGTTGCATCGTACAAATTATCTTACTTCTAATTAATCCCAGTTCCTTGAAGCAGTCGGGTCTCTAAGTGTCGTCATACTCTGTGCATGCAGCGCTTTTTTAAATCACACACCACTCCATGTCAAGAGGATAGGCCAGCAAAGGTTAGAAAGTTCTCTTTGGAATAGCGTACCACAGCTGTACAGGATGCAAACTGGTCCGCTGCAGTTTGTGGGGTGTGCGTGTGCACGTGGTGATGATGTGCCTCTGCTCCCAGGGATCGGATTTTACTGGCACTCTCAGGGCCCCCTCTGAAACTCTTCAGTGGAGACCAAAAACTTCTGCACAGTGAGAGCAGGGATTGGAGCAGCCAGTCTGTACCTCTGCTGGAACTTACAGGATGCAGCAAGTAGAAGTGACACGAAGCAGCTGGGGATGGGTACGTGAATAGGAAGGGTTTGGAGGGATATGGGCCAAATGCTGGCAAATGGGACTGGATTCATTTTGGACATCTGGTCGGCACGGACAAGTTGGTCTGTTTTTCTATGACTATAGGGAAAGGTTGGAGGGAAATCTAACAGAGGCTTCCAAAATCATGTAGAGCTTTGATGGAGCAAATATGTAATGTAGGACTCAAGGAGGAGGAGCAGGCCACTCCACCCCTCAACTCTGCTCTACTGCTCAATAAGCTTGTGGCTGATTTGTTTGAGGTCTCAGCTCCTGGGTTTTGTCTGCCCCTCAATGAACCCTCTACTCCCTTGTCGCTCCACCCCTCTATCGAACTGATCCGTGAGTGAGTTCATGAACGAGTTCAATGACCCTGTTTCCAGTGCTCTCTGGGGAGGAGAACTTCAATAACGATCCTCAGAAAAAATAATTTTTATCTCTATCTTAAAAGGGAGCCCTCTGACTCTTGCACTGCCCCCATCTTAATTCAAACATCCCCCACTAGAGGAAACACCCTCCCAGTATTTACTCTAGCAGGACCCTCAGAGTTGCTCGTTTCAATCTGGACACAACACTGTCCACTGTCTGGAGGCCCAATAAAGAGGCACTAATTTAAGACTGAAACGAAAAGGAATTTTCTTCTCTCAGAGGGCTGAGAGTCTGAGGAAGTCCTTGCCATGAAAAGATGTGGGGGCAGACTCCTTGTGTATATTTATAGCAAAGATAGATACTTGATCTATCAAGGGTGACGGGCTAAGGGCAGGACTGTGGATGGTCGGATCAGCCATGATTATATTGCATGGAGGTTTGAGGGGCCGAATGGCCTAATCCTGCGCCTGTTTCTTATGCCCTAACTCGTGGAGCCTTTTCTCAGAGGACAAGCCCTTTAACCCAGGAATTAGCCAGGGGGAACCTTCCTAAAGCTGGTTTGATTGCAATTGCGTTTTCTTTCAAACGAGGTAACTTGAATAAAGATTTTACATTTAAACAGGAGGATGACATGTCTCCAGGAGAGTCGATAACGAGAAGGACACAGAACTAAGGTGTTTGGCAAAGGGCCTAGTGGGGAGGTGAGGTACATGGTTTTTTAAATATAATGACTTGTTGCGATCTAGAACACACTGCCTGAAAGGTTGGTGGAAGTAGTCAAGAAGGAATTGTACAAATAGTTCTCAAGGGGAAAACTGTAGAGCTCTTTCATAGAAAGCCAGCATGTGATACTGGGATGAAGTGGTCTCCCTCTGCTGTATGAACAGGACAGCATTGACAATTTGATATCTGCAGGCGTTGGTAAGAGAGACTCATTGTCAAAAACAACCGTTGTTCTTAATACTGTTCGTGTGTCAGGATAGCTTCTGTACAAATAACCGCACTGTGACTGGGCTCCCTGTCTGAGACCAGAGCGTGACCAAACACCAACAAAGCTGGCCTTTTCGCTGATGTTGGCTTAGACACAGAGTCAGGAGAAAAACATTTCTTGGATTGGCTCAACTGACATTCCACCAGTTACATAATGATTTTATTTCGGGAAATGCAAAGGACACCAAGTCTCAGAGCCTCGTGGCCCACAGACAAAGAGCTCCTTCCTGGGAAATGAGCAGCCTCAGCCTTCCACACAATAAGCATTTTCACATCGTCCAGCATGCTGATGTTTGTGCTCCAGAATGAGAGGAGTTCAGGCAACTGGCATCTGTGTCAAAGATTCTCACACACTAGCGTGGGGTTAAATACAGAGTAAAGCTCCCTGTACACTGTCTCCCATCAAACACTCCCAGGACAGGCACAGCACGGGGTTGGATACAGTGTAAAGCTCCCTCTACACTGTCCACCATCAAACACTCCCAGGACAAGGGACAGCACAGGGTTCAGAGTAAAGCTCCCTCTACTCTTTTAAACCACAAGTAAAGCTGCCTCGCCACTGTTCCCATCAATCACCCCCAGGCAGGGACAGTATGGTGTTAGACCAGGTTATAGATATGGATCAGAACACTAAAGTATTTACAGAGACAACAAGGTGCAGGGCTGGATGAACACAGCAGGCCAAGCAGCATCATAGGAGCAGAGAGGCTGACGTTTCGGGCCTAGACCCTTCATCGAAAAGGGGGAGGGGAAGGGGGTTTTGAAATAAATAGGGAGAGAGTGGGAGGCGGATAGAAGAGGGATAGAGGAGAGGATAGGTCTCCAGCATCTGCAGTTCCTACTATCTCTGAAAGTATTTACAGATTTTCTTTTACTTTTAATTCCAAAATGTGGTGTTTTCAAAAGGCAGAGTGCTCTGAAACACTGATTAAAATTCAGCCATTGTCTGGCAAAGTCCTGAGTGAAGCCAATGGAATGTTGCACATGTAAAATGTCCGGGGAACTTCAAACAGGGAGAGACTATTCCCACCCTCAGTCAAGAAGGTGATCTCTTGCAGATATCTGTTTTACCCTCCAGGAACATACAAGTTTCAACTCTACTGTAGACGATTTGTGGGACTGAATGCTCTCATGTGTACCGGCTTCAGTGTGGGAGTCAGCATGCTGTGATGCCACAGGTGAAGAACTATCTTCTAGTTACCCTTGCATTGCAGGTAAAGAGACACCCTCACTCTCAGAGCTGCAAACCAGTTTAAAAAAAAAGGAAACAGGACGAATAAACTTCAATTTGCCAAAAACAGCATGAACACTGAAGCCAACAACTGCACCTCCAGCACTGACACGACCAGTAACTTCCAGTGCAATGGCCACAACATTCAACTTATCTGCTTTTTGTGAACAATTTATACTGATCTGTCTCACCACAATTTTTCCTGTTTTAAACTTTTAATGTTCTAGACTCACTTATCTCTAATCTTTGCGTATATGTACTACTTTAATATTTATTCTCATGTGCTATAATTAATAAACTTGCTCTTTTGTAATTCAAGAAGACCTGATTAAATTGGCTCCTTCTAGAAAAATGAATGAATTTGGGTCTTTGAGAAAGACACTCATAAGGGAAGGTTGTGACTAACCGAAGGGCTGGGTGAATAAAGAACAGGAACTTGGGAGTTTAATGATTTCAGTGGTTCCCTGTGACAAACTGGGAAACCTTGCCTGGAGTTTGGTTGTAACACCACAAAAGCTTTCACAACACTGTATCCATCTAACACACCCTGGGAAAATACAGCATATGACCAGAGACAGATTAAAGCTCCCTCTGCCCAAGTTAGACACAGACAAAACGTTCACTGGGATTGTATGCAATGGAATGAGATTTGGTCAAGTGAGAATGTATACAACTGGAGTGAATGGGAAAGGTTTTTGGTCCATTGGGATGGTGTACAATGGAAATGAATGAGAAGGAGATTGATTCATTGGGAATGTGTACAACGGGAGTGAACGGGAGGGGGATTCATCCATTGGGATTGCGTACAATGGGAGTGAACAGGAAGGGGTTTGGGTCCATTGGGATTGTGTATAATGGAAGTGAACGAGAGGGGGATTGATCCATTGGGATGGTGTATGATGGGAGTGAATAGGAAAAGGTTTGATCAGTTGGGATTGTCTACAATGGGAGTGAATGGGAAATGATTTCGTTAATTTGGATTGTGCACAACGGGGGTAAATGCAAAAGGCCTCAGGACATTGGGAATCCGTGCTATAGGTGAACGTGGGTTTGTGCTGCTGGAACTCCTCATTGGTAACATGTCTCATGTGCATGCACACACCACCTTTAAGTTTCCCATCTGAGGTGGTTGGGTTTAGGGGCTGTCACAGGGGTCACAACACTGGAGTTGGCAATGGTGCCTGCATTCACAATAGTGCACTTGGCAAAATAAAAACGGGGATTCCCAAATGAAAACAGGAAGTACTTTGGGCAGATCCTGGGTTCCAAGGAGACTCGCCTACCCTGTAATGTCACTTACCCATGTCTACAGCATAGCCTCTTCAGCTTCAGTTCAGAGCAGTTGAGCTGGGCGAGTCCTATGAGTATCCCAGCGAACGTACCCTGCAAGAGACAGAAAGACAAGCCGAGCCTTGATGAACAGAAGTGGACTTTGTAACAATGTGAAGTGGACCTTGGCCACCCCAAATAAAATGGCAGAGCGTCTGGGACCAGCATGTCAGCCAGAATGAAATGCATGTTATGGCAGGGTTCACAGCAGGCTTTCTACAATACACTATAGAAAACCACCGACTTAATCGACACACAGCAACAGATACATCTGCACAGGGCCTGTAAGCAGCCCACTACAGCCAGGAATATTTAAACGGAGCACAATAGCAACCTACAGAGCCTATTTACAGGAAATGGCCTACGAAGTCTACTTAAATGACCACAAAGAGTTTAAGAATAAATATAAGGAAAGGTGGTAGTGTAGCGGTAACGTCACAGGCCCAGTAAACCAGGAGTCCAGGCTGATGTTCTCAGCTGTGGGTGATTTTGATTAAAGCTGGAATTGAAAGCTAGTCTGATGAACAACTGTCAATTGTCAGAAGAACCCATCTGGTTCACTGATGTTCTTTGGGGAAGGAAATTTGTGTCCTTACCCGGTTTCGCTTACATACGACTCCAGACCCCACAGTAAAGCGGTCGACTCTTAACTGAAATGAACTCACTCTGTTCAAAGACAACTAGAAAAGGCCAGCAACGTTCACATTCCACACAAGAATGAAACAAAAATTTAAATAGCACATTACAATAAATCTTCTACAGTGTCTCCAACACAGTTAAACAGTGCACTGCAGCAGTCTACAGAGTCTATTCAAACGTCGCAGGATAGCAAAAAATCACCAGAGCCTATTTAAACAGTGTACCACAACAGAGGCAGCAAGTTACAGCAGTCTAGAATCTGTTAAATAGGGCACTTTGGCAGTCCAGAGTCTAGTTAAACTACAATACTATCTATAATAGTCTACAAACTCTATTTAAAACAGCAAACTGTAAAAAAAATGTTCACAGATCCTACATGCAGTGTATTACACGTAGAATATACCACCACAATCTAGTTTATTTCAATAGCCCATTATAGTAAGCAGTTTATTGAATCTATTTAAATAGAGCACTGCATCGAAGAGTTCACAGAGTCCATTTGATTTGATTTATTATGGTCACATGCACCTAGGTACAGTGAAAAGTTTTGTTTAGTGTGCAGTACAGGCAGATCATACTACACACAATGCGTTAGGGTAACAGAACAGAACGAGGAATACAATGTTACGACTGCAGAGAAGTGCACAGAGAGTGAGATCAACATTAAATTTAAAACTTGAGAGTTCCGTTTAGAAGTCTAGTAACAGCCAGGAAGTTGTTCTTAAATCCGCTGGTAGTGCGTTTAGCTTTTGTATTTTCAATTTGAACACACTGCAGGAAATAGAGTCTATTTAAATAGCACATTAGAATAGTTTGACAAACAGAACTTATGAGCAAAACTATGACAATGCCTTCCTTATAAAGCAGTAGGGGTTCTCCAGCAAAGGCAGTAACAGATTGTTGTATGCAAAATAACTGTGCGGAAAATCAATCCCAAGTCGAGTGTTGTTAGTCACCTTCCTTCTGGGTAGGGTTAGTGGGTCATCAGATGCAGCCACAAACAGTGGGACCAATCGAGATGTCGCCTGATCTATGGTCTGGATGGTTCAGGGGATACTGAACCTGTACGCTGCCTGCCAGCTAGCATCCGAGTTCAGACAACCAAGGCATGCAACAATCTGGGTGAGACGGAGAGGAGGTGGATGGGATTTGTGTGCTGGACTGGGAGAAAAGCAAGACAGTGAACTATCCAGGGTTCATACTCCTGATCAACATGCAGTGCTTCAAACTACAAGACGGTGCTCAGCTGTGACACTTTCCAAAGTGGAATATCCATAGAAAGAGTGGCCACCTAGATTAAAATTTGCATCCAGGTTTGAAAGTATTACTGAAACCATTCGTCCCTAGTTTCTCTGCAAAGGACGTGTGTGGTGTTTTGGTGGTTTGGTGTGGCTAAGGGGGACCTCAGGGACCACTGTAGAGGCCAATTGGGGTTAACCTCTTAGGCATGGGCCTGCAGTCACATGAAGCCGAAGATGGGATAAAGATAATATCTTCTCTTCCTTAAAGGGAAGTGAAGGAGGATGGCTTTTAACAAAAATCACCAATTTCACTCAGTGTTACTGAGACCAAGTTTCTCTGGGATGTGTGCTGAAATTATTACAGAACTCTGCATGAACTAGTTTAATTACACGACCACGGCACTGTATAATCTGCAGTTTGTGCTGCAGCGCACCATTTAAGTAGACTCTGCAGATGGCTGTAGTATGCCATTTAAATAGATTCTGAAGACTGTTTGCTGCTGTGCATTGTTTAAATAGATTCTGTAGACTGTTTGCTCCAGTGTACTGTTTAAATAACCACTATACCAGCACACCCTTGAGAGTGAGCTGAAACCCAGAGCACTGAATCCCCATGGGAGTCAGCACCTTTGGCCTAGGAAGGCAAGTATCTCTGACACGGTGTATGAGAGAAATTAGTGACGGACCAAATAACTCAGCCAACAAGTAGTCACTCACTTGATCCATGGTTACATGCTTTCCATGATAGTCCAACCAGATTGGTACTTCTGAGGTAAATCGAAATTCCCTGTAACAGAGAGAGAGAGAGACCATTAGCACATGTCACGGCTGCAAATCAGTGCAGATCAAACTGCTTCACTTCCCGAAGGACAACAGCCAGGATTGTGGGGACTTGAACTATCCACTCTCTATTCAGTGGCATTCAGTTGCAAAGGGAGAAGAGTAGGTCTAAGACTAGTTTGTTAAACTTAAAATAAGGGTAACTGCAGGTGTGAAAGCTGAGCTAGCTGAAGTGGACTGGGATTTTAAAGTAAGGGATAGATGAATACAGAAGCAGTGGCAGACATTTAGAGGGAAATTTCTGAATAATCAATGTTTTTTTCTTCATTCACAGGATGAGGGGGTCGCTGGCTAGGCAGCATTTATTGCCCATCTTTAATTGCCCAGAGGGCAGTTGGGAGTCAACCACATTGCTGTGGGTCTGGAGTCACATGTAGGCCAGACCAGGTAGGGATGGCAGTTTCCGTCCCGAGAGACAACAAAACTGCAGATGCTGGGATCCAAGGTAGACAACCAGGAGGCTGGAAGAACACAGCAAGCCAGGCAGCAGCTGGAGGAAAGGAGCAGTCAGCGTTTCGGGTATTACCCTTCTTCAGGACTTGAGTGAACCTGATGAGTTTTTTCCTGGCAATAACAGTGGTTTCATGGTCAGCATTACACTTTTATTCCAGCTTTTTTTTTTAAATTCAAATTTCACCATCTGCCATGGCAGGATTCAAACTCTATCACCACAGCATTAACTGGGTCTACAGATTACTTGTCAAGTGATAATACCACTTGGCCAAGTAGGCCACCAGACCACCCACCATCCATGGCTAACCTTAGTAGTTAAGGAAAGCATCTCCCTTAAGGGGAAAGTATATGATAGTGTAAGGGTGAGTAGCATATCAGAGCAGGGCAGAGAATGACGAAGATTAATTGGGAAAAATAAATTAGAATATGAGAAGGAGCTAGCTAGAAATGTAAAAACAGATAGCAAGAGTTTCTATAGGCATTTATAAAGGAAAAGAGTAAATGGAGTGAGTGCTGGCCGTCCAGAAAGCGAGAATGGGGTGTGAATAGTAGTCAATAAAGAAATGGAGGATGTAATGAATGAATATTTTGCTTCTGTCTTTACTATAGAGGTTACAATAAACATCTCGGTAATAGCTGTAAACAAGGAAATGGAAGAAGGTAACTTGCTGATTATAATCACAAGGGAAACAGTACTGAACAAACTGATGCAACTGGAGGTTGATGGGTCTCCAGGTCCTAATGGACTTCATCCTAGAGTCTTAAAAGAGGTGGCTAACGAGGTAGTAGATGTGTTGATGCCAATTTTCCAATGCATTATATTCTGGAAAATTCCATCAGAAAGTAGCCAACATATTTAAGAAATGAGGGAGACTGAAAATAGGAAACTTACAGGCCAGTTAGCTTGGTATCTGTCCTTGAGGAAGTGTTAGAAGCTATCACTAAGGAAGTTATAACTGAGCACTCGTAAGAATACAAGGTAAAGATAATTGGGAAGAATTGGCATGGTTTGGTGAAATTGTGTTTAATCAATTTATTGATATTCTGCTGTGCTTGGTTCGAGCTGGTTTATTAGTTTGCAGGCATTTCATTATCCTGCTGGGTAACATCATCAGTGCAGCCTCCAATGAAGCATTGTTGTATTTTCCTGCTTGCTATTTAAACTCTGGGGTCCTTTGGAGTTGATTACCCCATTTCTGTTTTTTCCTTGCAGTGGTGTCTATATAGGATCTAATTCTATGTGTTTATTGATGGCCTTCTTGGTGGAGAACCAGGCCTCTAGGAATTCCTGTGTTTGTCCCTGTTTGTCTGTCAGGATGCTAGGACAAGCACGGGAATTTCCAGAGGTCTGGTTGTCCACCAAGAAGGCCATCAATAAACACATAGAACTAGACCCTATATACACACGACTGCAAAGGAAAACCGGAAAGGAGGTAATCAACTCCAACAGACCCCAGAGTTTAAATAGCAAGCGCGAAAATATAACAACACTTCATCGGAGGCTTCGCTGATGATGTTACCCAGCAGGGAATGAAACGTCTGTGAACTAACGAAGCAGCTCGGCGAGCGAACAAACCACAGCATCCACAACCCAAGCTATAAATCTACTCATTACTGATATTCTTTGAAGGAATAGCGGGTGCTGTTGGAATAGGGGAGTTTACTGATGTGCTCCACATGGATTTCCAGAAGCCATATGCCAGGGTGACAGATAAAAGGCTATTGTGCAAGCTAGAGCTCATGCTGTGTGTGTGTGTTGGGAGGGGTGGGGGTAACACATAAGCATGGAGAAGATCAGCCGGCTGGCAGAAAACAGAAAACATGTATAAATGCATCTTTTAAAGATTGGCAGAATGTAACGAGTTGGGTCTGATGCTGGCAGCTCAACTTTTGACAATTTCTATCAACAACTTAGATGAGGGATGGAAGGCATGACAGCTAAATTTGTAGATGGCACAAACATAGGTAGAAAGTGTGTGTGAAGATGGTATTACAAGGATGCAAACCCGAGTAAAAATAGGCTAACTTTGTTCACTTTGGCAGGAAGAATAAGGAAGTTGAGTTTATTTAAACATAGAAAGACTGCAGCATTTTGAGGTGCAGAGGGATCTAGATGTTTTAGTGTATGAATCAGAAAAGGTTAGTACACAGATTCAGCAAGTGATTAAGGAGGCTTGCGGAGTGTTATCCTTTATTACAAGAAAATCAGAAGTCACGCGAAGCCAGGTTATAGTCCAACAGGTTTATTTTAAAATCACAAGCTTTCGGAGCACCGCTCCTTCATCAGGTGGACCACGTCATCTAATGAAGGAGCAGCACTTCAAAAGCTTGCGATTTTATATAAACCTGTTGGATTATAACCTGGCTTTGCGTGACTTCTGATTTTGTTCACGCCAGTCCAACACCTGCACCTCCACAATCATGGCTTTATTACACGAGCAAGTGAACACAGAAGTAAGAATATTACGTTTTGCTCATAAAGGTCATTGGTGAGACCACATCTCAGATACTGTCCAAAGTTGCAGTCTCCTTACTAAAGGAAGGACATAAAGGCACTCGCGGCAGTTCAGAGAGGGTTTCCCAGATCGAAACCTGGAATAGGCGAGTAGTCTTATAAGGAAAGATTGGATAGACCTGGGCTTGTTTTCATTTGGGTTCAGGAGAACGGAGGGGGTGAGATGACTGAAGCGCATAAGATCCCAAGTGAGGTGGGCATGGGAAGGATGTTTCCTCTGGGGTCAGTCTAGACATAGAGGGTACAGTTTTAAAATTAGAGGTTGACGTGAGATTAGGGGAATTTTGCTTCTCACAGAAGATTGTGAGACTTTGGGACTCAGAAGGTGGGGCACACTGAATATTCCTAAGGTGGACATAGATCGATTCTGGTCAGACAGAGGGATCGAGGGTTATTGGGCACGAATGAGAATGTGGAATTCAGAACATAAATGGATGTGGTTAAATGGTGCGACAGACTCCAACAGTCAAATAGTTTAATCTGCTGCTATGGAAGCAATTGGATTGGAAACTTAAAAGAGGAAGTGGATGAATACTCAAAGCTGTGGGGAAGGTGCTGGAGGCAGTGGGAGTAATTGCACAGCTCTCTACAGGAAATAAAAACCAAAAGAACTGTAAATCAGGAACAGAAACAAAAGTCACTGGGAAAGCTCAGCAGGGTCTGGCAGCGTCTGTGAAGAAATAAATCAGAGATAACGTTTCGGGTCTGATGACCCTTCCTCAGAACCAGGACCCGAAACGTTAACTCTGATTTTTTTTTTCTTCACAGATGCTTCCAGACCCTGCTGAGCTTTCCCAGCGATTTCTGTTTTTGTCTTTCCTGGATAGGTCAGGAGCTCCCGTCTGTGATCTGAAGCCCCACGAGAATGGAAGAGGAAGTGCACATCCCAGGGCACAGTCATGGTGGGCTCCCTGGGTCACCTGCCATACCTGAAATAGATTGGCTGCTCGGAGGACGAGGAGGCAGTGGACGAGGAGCTCTGCTCGCTGCAGGTTGTCTCCATCGAAGCGGTCATCTCTGGTAAGCACTGACTGGGCTCAGTGTCGCGGCCGATGGAATCAGAGTCCGGGGCTCCGCTCGCCCTCTGGCTGAGCTCAGGCTTGGCTGCAGGCAGGGGGCAGAGAGTGTGCAGGTTAGTGGAGAAACACGGGAGGCACCGGGCCACGCTGCCAGGGACAAGTGAGCATCTTGTTTGTCCATCGCAACCACAGGCCGCTCCTCAGGAT